AAAAATGGGAAAAAAATAGACAAAAAACGGGCATAAAATGGGCAAAAATTGGGAGGGGATAAAATGGGCATAAAATGGGCAAAAAATGGGCAAAAAACGGGCAAAAATTGGGAAAAAATAGACATAAAATGGGCAAAAAATGGGGAAAAATAGGCAAAAAATGGGCATAAAATGGACATAAAACCGGGAAAAAATGGCGAAAAAATGGAAAAAAAATGGGCACAAAAATGGGTATAAAACGGGCAAAAAATGGGCCTAAAATGGGCATAAAATGGGAAAAATGGGCAAAAAATGGGCATAAAAAGGGCAAAAAAAGGGAAATTATGGGCAAGAAATGGTCAAAAAATGGGCCTAAAATGGGCACAAGAAGGGCAAACCTGCGCGGCGCTGGGCTCGTGCGTGCGCGTGGCGCCGTTGCTCAGTGTCCAGTAGAAGGAGGCGATGTGGCATGAAATGGACATAAAATGGGCACAAAAAGGGCACAAAAAGGGCAAACCTGCGCGGCGCTGGGCTCGTGCGTGCGCGTGTCGCCGTTGCTCAGTGTCCAGTAGAAGGAGGCGATGTCCACGCTGCGGGCGGCCCCGGCCAGCAGCTCCAGCCACGCCTCGAAGGTGGACGGGCCGGCGGCGGCGCCCGCGGCCATGCCCTCGGGGATGCTCTCCACCAGCGCGATCCTGCCGAATTTCGGGGGGTTTTTCGGGGGGTCCCTGGGGGTCCCCTCGCCCCCCGAAATCCGGGCTTACCTGCAGGAGTCGCCGCAGGTGACGCCGGCGCGGCCGCGGAGGCGCGGGTGGAGGAGGAGGAGGAAGGTGAGGAGGAAGAGGATGGAGAGGACGGCGAAGAGCGCGGCGCCGTGGGGGCGTCTCTGGGTGGGGGGCGCGCCGAAAATTTGGGGGGGGTTTGGTTAATTTTGGGGGTTTCATCCCAGCCGAGGTGCGGGGAAGGGAGGGGGGAGGGGTACCTTGGGGGTCTCACGGCGATCCAGAGGGTCCAGCTGGGGGAGGAAGACCCCAAATTTGGGGAGGATGAAGCACACCCCGAAATTCCCAGGATCCCCCCCCACCGCCATTCCCAGGGGTTCCCGTGGGAGGTTGGGGTGGGGGGAGCCCCGAGATTTGGGGAGTTGGGGGCTCTGTGATCCCAAATTAAGAGGTTTGGGACCCCCAGATTTGGGGTTTGGGGCAGGGAATCCCCCCGAGTTTGGGTTTTGGGGTGTCCCAGGACCCCCAAATTGGGGTTTTTGGGGCGCCCCCAGCCCAGTTTGGGGTTTGGGGCAGGGAATCCCCCCAGTTTGGGTTTCGGGGTGCCCCAGGACCCCCAAATTCGGGTTTTGGGGTGCCCCAGGACCCCCAAATTCGGGTTTTGGGGTGCCCCAGGACCCCCAAATTTGGGTTTTGGGGTACCCCAGGACCCCCTAATTCAGGTTTTTGGGGCAGGGAATCCCCTCAGTTCGGGTTTCGGGGTGTCCCAGGACCCCCAAATTCGGGTTTTGGGGTGCCCCAGGACCCCCAAATTCGGGTTTGGGGAAGGGAATCCCCCAATTCGGGTTTTGGGGTGCCTCAGGACCCCCCAATTCGCGTTTTGGGGTGCCCCAGTAGCCCCAAATTGGAGTTTTTGGGGCAGGGAATCCTCCCAGTCTGGGTTTTGGGGTGCCCCAGGACCCCCAAATTCAGGTTTTTGGGGCAGGGAATCCCCAAATTCGGGTTTTGGGGTGCCCCAGGACCCCCAAATTGGGGGTTTTGGGGCAGGGAATCCCCCCTATTTAGGTTTTGGGGTGCCCCAGGACCCCCAAATTCGGGTTTTGGGAAGGGAATCCCTCAAATTCGGGTTTTGGGGTGCCCCAGG